AAAAAGCCCCAAATTTTTTTTTTTTTTTTGGATATGTATTTATCCATCCATTCATCTATTTATTTTATCCATCTATTACTTATCTCAAGAAAGAAGGAAATAAAAAATAAAAAAATAAAATAAAATAAAATAAATAAATAAAATAATCATATCAAATCAAATCCCAGGTCAGTGTTTTGAAGAAGTGGGTCTTTCTCGTGGATCACAGGCTTTTATTAAGTAATCCTCATGCTTTTCAACACAGCACAGACACGAGTAAACAGACCGATCCACAGACACACACACATGGACAATACTTACCGACAGCTTGCTGTCATCCTCCACTCCACTAGGGCTCAACTTCACAGTCAAGAGACGAACACAACACAGAGAGAAAGAGAAGAGACAACAGCACAGAGATGTGAGACAGGACCAACGGACAGAACACCGACATCAGACTCCACAGAGACACACACATCAACAACACATCAGCTGACAGAGTGTGCTTGACCTCTGACCTCACAGAGAGTGTGTCTGACCTCTGACCTCACAGTGAGTGTGTGTTTGACCTCTGACCTCAGAGAGAGTGTGTTTGACCTCTGACCTCACAGTGAGTGTGTGTTTGACCTCTGACCTCAGAGAGAGTGTGTGTCTGACCTATGACCTCACAGAGTGTTTGTTTGACCTCTGACCTCACAAAGTGTTTGTGTGTGTGTGTGTTTGACCTCTGACCTCACAGTGAGAGTTTGTCTGACCTCTGACCTCACAAAGAGCATGTGTCTGACCTCTGACCTCACAGAGAGCGTGTGTCTGACCTCTGACCTCACAGTGAGAGTGAGTCTGACCTCTGACCTCACAGAGAGTGTGTCTGACCTCTGACCTCACAGAGAGTGTGTGTCTGACCTCTGACCTCACAGAGAATGTGTTTGACCGCTGATTTCACAGAGAGTGTGTTTGACCACTGATCTCACAGTGTGTTTGACCTCTGACCGCACATAAAGTGTGTTTGACCTCTGACCTCACATAAAGTGTGTTTGACCTCTGACCTCACAGAGTGTGTGTTTGACCGCTGACCTCACAGAGTGTGTGTTTGACCTCTGACCTCACAGTGAGTGTTTGACCACTGAACTCACAGTGTGTGTGTGTGTGTGTGTGTGTGTTTGACCTCTGACCTCACAAAAGTGTTTTGACCTCCGACCTCACATAGTATATTCTGTAACTTCAGACCCTACTAAATGTTTTTTAACCTCTGATCTCGCCAAAGGTGATTTGACCCCTGACCTTAATGAGTGTGTTTTGACCTCTGACATCACAGAGTATATTCTGTGACTTCTGACCCTACTGAATGTGTTTTGACCTCTGACCTCACAGAAAGTGTTTTGTCGTCTGAAATCAAGTATGTGCTGTTACTTCTGACCTCACAGAGTGTGTGCTCTGACGAAACTGAACGTGTTCTTTGACCTCACAAAGTGCCTATTTTGACCTCTGACCTCACCAAATGCATGCTATGACCTCAACTAAGTCTGTTGTGACCTGACCTCACGGAGTGTGTATTTTGAAGTTGCCAAGTTTGAGCTGTGACCTCAGACCTCACAGAGTATATTCTGTGACATATTCTGAACCTACTGAATGTGTTTTGACCTTTGACCTGACCAAGTGCATATTTTGACCTCTGACATCACCAAGTGTGAACTGTGACCTCTGACCTTACAGAATCTGCGCCCTGACATTTGACTTCTGACCTCACCAAATGTGTGTTATGGAATATGCCCTCACTGACTGTGTGCTGACTTCTGATTGATTTAGTTTTTTCAAGTGTGTGCTGTGAAAACATATTTTGACCACTGATCTTGCCAGTTTAACCTCTATACATCAAATGACTATATTACTGCACCAGCACTTTTCCAAGATCTGAGTAAAAAGATGCTACTTCTCCCAACAAGCAATGACACTTAAAACAACACTTCCCAATAAACCAGTCAGTCCAGCCCAGCCTGGAGCAACATGGTTCAATCTATTCTAATCCAGTTCAGTCAAAAACGGTTTTGCAGTCAGATGGCCTCTTGAAGTGTGTTGTTCTTGTCAGAATAAGCCGTAAACTGTATCTGTTCCAGTGTTCCCAATCCAACAAACTGCAACCAAGCACCATCGAGCTCAAAGGTCATCAGTTCAGCAGGTAAAGCGGAACCATTGGAGGCTCAAACATGATGGAGAAGACTCTAAAATTAGCTCTTAGGGCTAAATTAGGTACAAGACAGAGCCCTGGAAGGCCATTTTAAAAGGAGAAAATCAATTTGTACCTCAAGTCTCTGCCCACAGTTCATTCATTACCAACCTGAACAAAGCTGCAGTGCTAGTGTTAACACTGACTATTAAAAATCAGCATCCATTTCCATACTTTTATTCGACTGTAATTTAAATCTATTTGCGTCTACAGTGTTAAGAACACTAAAGTTTATTTTTCTGTCTTTAAATAAATAAACAAACAGACAAATAAATGCATAAATAAAAGCATAAATTAATAAATTCGTAAATATTTGGATAAATGTGTAAATGCATGAATACATGTATAAATGCACAAATGAAAACATAAATGGATACATTTATAAACAAATGGAAAAATATATAAAAAAACATAAAAGCATAAATGGATATTCATAAATATATTGATGAATGCATAAATAATTGCATAAATACAAATAAAAGCATGAATGGACAAATTCAAAAATCGATAAATGCATAAAAATTATAAATAAATGGAAAACAAAATTATGCATTTATAAATTCATAACTGCATAATTACATTAATAAATGCACAAACGCATAAAAAAGCATACATGAATAAAGACATAAGAAAATT